GAAGAAAAACAGAAAGGCTTATATCCACCCTTGTGGCAGTGTGCCCAATCAAATGGTTTTACTTATAAGGTATACATGTATACATCTCTTCTGGGACAAGAAAGAGTAGAAAGTACCCTGCCTTTTTTTTTTTTTAAAGACTTTATTTATTTGTTTGATGGAGAGAGGGAGAGAGACAGCAAGAGAGGGAACACAAGCAGGAGGAGTGGGAGAGGGAGAAGCAGGCTTCCCGCTGAGCAGGGAGCCCGATGCGGGGCTTGACCTGAGCCAAAGGCAGACGCTTAACGACTGAGCCACCCAGGCACCCAAGTACCCTGCTTCTAAGTTCTCTGGTCTTATGACACAGACTTACAGACTTGCCTGCCCTCCACTACCCTTCCTCCCTCCATTCTGTATCAGTTCCCCCCCTCATCACACATCTCCTTGAGGGCCTCCTCCTTGAGGAGGTCTATGATTCCAGACCTCCACATCTGTGCCCATCTGCTCTGTCAGCCACAGAATGCTGTTTTATCTATTAATTATAGTTAACATTTATTGAGTGTTTATTATGTGCCAGGCACCATTCTAAGAGCTTTATGATTATTAAAACTTACTGAATCCTGTCAACCTTATGAAGAAAGATAAACTACCCGAGAGGTTAAGCAAGTTGTCCAGGGTCACACAGCCAGTAAGTGACACGGGCAGAATGTGAACCTAGGTAATCTGGCTCAACAGCATAGTCTCTTAAACACTGCATAATAGATGCTCATAGTTTAGTTCACCACTAAAATGGCTTTATGGCCAGCAAGCCTGTCCTGATCAAACATACCAATAGAAACAAATAAACAAAAAATTCTATTCTGAAATATTTTGTCTCAGTCCAGCTTCTTAATATGTAGCTGTGGGAGAACAGTGTTTGTTTCATTGGAATTTCTACTTAAAATTAAACAAAATATTAAAAAACCTTCTCTAGAAAAGGAATAAACTGCTTTTATAATTTACTTCCATTTTACGAATATTAGTTATAATATTCCACTGATTCCAAACCACTGACTGCCTTGTGCCTTTTGTAAATGCTGGTAAGGGCTTCTTTTACGAATACAATGATTTTATTTTTTAATTATTTTTAATAAATATTTTTTATTTATTTAATAAATATTTTTTATTTATTTATTTGACAGAGAGAGACACAGCGAGAGAGGGAACACAAGCAGGGGGAGTGGGAGAGGGAGAAGCAGGCTTCCCGCTGAGCAGGGAGCCTAATGTGGCGCTCGATCCCAGGACCCTGGGATCATGATCTGAGCCGAAGGCAGACGCTTAATGACTTAGCCACCCAGGTACCCCACGAATATAATGATTTTAACTCAGAGTGAGACAACTGGAATTCTTTAAAGAATGAAAGAAAATGACAGGGAGGGAGGGATTACCCACTTAAATCAGGCAAAAAAAAAAACCAAACAAAAAAACAGATAAGCAAGTTACAAAGGGGTGTGTTGTTATAAATTCTCCCTTTGGTGTCCCATGGTGTAATATTATACATGATTTTAGATTTCAAGTGTCATAAGGATTGTTAAACTAAGAGCTACTCTTTTTTATTTATTTATTTTTAAGATTTATTTATTTGACAAAGAGAGAAAAAGCATGAGAGAAAAAGCACGAGCAGGGGGGAGGGGCAGAGGGAGAGGGAGACAGACTCCTCGATGAAGAGAGAGCCCGATGTGGGGCTCCATCCCAGGTCCCTGGATCATGACCTGAGCCAAAGGCAGACACTTAACTGACTGAGTCACTCAGGTGCCCCAAGAGCTACTCTTTTATGTAATCTTTATCTGTCTGAACTTAACTTTATTGCTTGTTTACTTCTTCTTCTCAGAAAGTCATGCATGCTCATTATGGAAACTCTGGAAACTATAAGTATAAAGAGGAAGGAAAATTAATTACCCAGAATCTTGCCAACCAGAGACAACCACTATTAATATTTTGTCATTTTCCTTCTATTCTTTTTGGTTTGTTTTTACATAGCAGATATTAGTCCATATGTGTTATTTTGTATCCTTGATATTTTTCCTCCTTAATATTACACCAAAAGTTATTTCTCCCATTGTGAAAACTCTCGGTAAACAAAACTTGTAAGAGCTGAGTAACATTCTACATCTCCTCAGATGATTATCCTTTTAACCTGTTATTGTGGCAAATTACCTTGACCGTTTTTTTTTTTTTTTAAAGTAGGCGCCATGCCCAGTGCATGGCTCGAACTCACAACTGTGAGATCAAGACCTGAGTCGTGATCAAGAGTCGGATGCTCAACCGGCTGAGCCATCCAGGCACCCCTTGACTGGGTTTTCCTAATGTCACACTAACCTTGTACTCTTCTGAATAAACCCAACTTGGGACTCCTATGTTATTCTCTTAATATAATACTGGATTCAGTTTAATATTTTGTTTAGGATATTTATATCTATTTAAATTTTCTGTGTTGCATAGTCTTTATTAGGGTTTGGTAACAAGACTAAGATAGTCTCTTAAAATGAATTGGAGAATGTCACTTCTTTTTCTGTCCTTTGGAACAGCTGAGGTAAGACTGGAGTTATTTCTTCCTTAGGTGTTTGGTACAAGTAGCCAGTGAAATCATCTGGGCCTGATCTTTCTTTGTGGGAAGGTTTTTAATTGTGATCTCAATTTTCCAAATAGTTATGGGTATATTCAAGTTTTCTCTTTCTTCTTGTGTCAATTTTGGTAAGTTGACTTTTTTTTTTTTTTAAGGAATTTGTCCTTTTCATCTACATTTTCACAATTTTTGGTATGGAGGTTTTCAAAATAATTTCATATTACCTGTTTAATAACTGCAGATCCTTGATAATAAAAGTATACCTCCTTTTTATTTTGTTACCATTTGTTTCTGTTATTTCTCTTCCTTGTCTTTGATCTATTTCATCAGAGGTTTAGTAATTTATTAATGTTTTCCAAGAACTAATTTTTGTTTTTGATGTCCCTAAATCTTCTACTTCCTTAATTTATGCTCTTTCTATTGCTTCCTTCCTTTTATTCTCTTGATGTTTCTTTATTTGGTTTCTTTTCTAATTTCTTGAGCTGAATGCTTAGCTTATTACTTTTTGGACCTTCTTCATTTGTAATATATGAATTTGAATGCTATGAAATCTCCTTTAAATACAGCAGCCCTCAAACTCGGATGATGTCAGGGTAAAATTGTTCCTAGGTATTGATCTTAGTTCTTTTGGTTCAATCTTCTCCCACATATAGGCCATTAAATTATTTTCTATCTTGTGCTTTCTGATGACTTTAGGGTGATGATTTGTGTATTTCAATCAGCTTTTTAAGTTACCCTCAGTGGGGGAATTTGTTCAAATTACTTGGTCTGCCTTTACCAAAAGGTGATGTGCTCTGCACAGTTTTCCAATATAGGGATATACCTTAAGTTATCTAACTAGGCTTCCAGTGTTAGATAATATGAATATCTTACAACTATCATTATACATATATGTTTATCGCATTTCAGATTTTTTTTTTCTCCTTAAGACAGATTTCTAAAAGCAGAAATGCTGGGGAAAACATTTTTAGGTCTCTTGATACTTTCGCAGTTACATTAACTTGCACTAGTCACTGGTGTTTGAATATGCCTATTTCTCCCCCACAATAAGGACTCTTTTTCAAATATCCGGCTTATTTGACAGGTGAAAAGTATTCCACTGTTGCTTTAAAATGTTTTTATCTTATATTGTTGATAGGGATAAACATTTTTTTGTTTACCACTTATTTGAATTTTTGCACCACTTGGTAATCCAATTGATTTTTATTTCTTTGTATATTTATATAAGATACTTATAACTGGCTGCCAACTGTGGGGATACCAGCCTTCTGCCTTTGAGAATCTGTTGCTAAATGCAAAGATCATGTTTCACCATCCTGGTGAAATTTGTGCATGCCTCTCCAACAGAGGCTGTCAGGACCTGTGGTCAATGAATAGCAAGCTGGTCTTGCTTAGAGATCAGTGGCATGACTAAAAATTGCCATTCATTCACTCATTCAATCTATATTTACTAAGCTCCTTCAGTACTGGCTTGTAGTGGATGATGAGTGAATATTTGCTGAAATAATGAGGGACAACCTTTATGGGTCAAGGATACCCTCACAGACCTGACAAAGTGGGGGAGACAGACATCAAATGATCACTGAGAAAAATATATAATTATAAGTAGAAATATATCTAATGAAGAAAAAGTAGTATGCTCTATGACAGAAAAGAACAGGGTACCCAAGTGAGGAACGGATCAGGTTTAGGTGAGGGAAGTGGGGGAATCACAGGTGGCTTCTTTGAAGATGTGACATTTGAATTGAGACAAAAGATGAGAAACAGTTAACTGGAGTGGGGGAAAGTGTGTTCCTCACAGAAGAAACAGCCTGTGTAAATGACCCCAAGCAGGAATGACAGTGGAGAGTTGGCTGCCATAATCTCAGTTTTCACGTCCTTGTCCCTTGAGTCAGTGGGAGTATAGAGGAGGGAGTGGTAAAGATTCACAACACGGAAACTAAAGAAGAAATTAACTGAAGTTTCAAAAAGGCTTATAGCATAGCATAGCTCTAGGAACCACTACACTGCCTCCTGCTAAGGAGTGTGCAAACAGAATTTTCTAAAACTAGAAGTCTGAACAGTGATACTGACAGGGCCAGTTGTTTTATCTACAAAATAGTCTTTGCCTCAGAAAAGGCCTCATATTTATTTCTAAGCTGTTTCCAGGGCTGCTCCTAACTTAGGAAGATACAGCTTAACAGAAAAATATTAATCACACAGTGCTAAACAGGATGCAGACTTTTTACCAAAATGTGTAAAATCAATCATTTCACTTTGGGACACACTTTTGGCACAAAGGCTGAGATCTGCCTTGGAAAACAAAGTCATTTCAAATCTGCCTAGAGAAGCCAGACCAGTGAGTGTTCCCAAACACAGGACTCCTAAGCATGTTTGCAATGGACAAAGCGGGCATGGAGCGAGGAGGCCAACGTACTGTTCTCTCGGACCAAGCAGAACTCCCATGCGCTCTGGCTCTCCAAAGTGCTCTCCAGGTCCACGGCGACGTTGGGCTCGCTCTGCTTCTCCAGGCGGTACTGAGGGCCTGGAAGATCAAAGGGGCAGGAGGAGGGGAGGAAGTCTGAAACAATGAATTTAACATTGAAGAAACACCACATACTGGCGAAAAGCTGATAAAGCATTAGGCAAACTGCTGAAGTCTGTCTGAGGTGGTCTAGCTATCCAAGATGGAAGAGTTTGGGTTTTTTCCCACAGGGTTTTACACACTTGTTTGTTCTATTATCAGCTCCGTTTTTGCTCAGCTCCCCCAAACAAGGTGAGAGGTGGCCTGACTTGGAATCACAACATGGCTACATGGTTTCTCAGATATGAGCAAATAACCTACCCTCTCCAAGCCTCTGTTTCCTAATATGTAATGGGGGGATACTTATACCTCAAGGATTATTGTGAAGTTTACAGATGATACAGGAAAAATACTTAGTAAGGCACCTGCCTCATAGGAGGCACTCCTATAGAAGTACTTATTAATAATCATTATATAATAATGAATAATCAATTATAAGCAGGAATAAAGTATGTTTAGAACGCTAATATGACGACAGCCCAAAATTTTTTAAAAATTTAAAAAGCAGATGAGATAAAAAAAACAACAACTCTGATTTCTGGGTTGTGGTAATAGACAGTAGCTGCTGATTCATGTTTTTGTTGAAACATTCATGAAAACACAAAGACACGGGTTCAATAATACTGAAAACCAGGAATACTAGCTAGCCTGTGTCACACAGGGGGTTCTAGCAGATCTTAATAAAACACTGGGGCCTTTTATACATTTATTCATGTATTTCTTTGTCAAGTCAAATGACAATCTTGTTCTCAGATAACACCTAACAGGTCCAATGATCAGATTCAAAAGACTGCTCCTGTTGTTAATGGTTATTGAAAAGATTAGAGGCGTAAGAAACTGTCTTATTACTTTGACTATGAAAGGCGTGTTTGGTCAGACAGAGGGGAGGTGGTAAGAGATCTGAGGAAAGCATCAGAGGCCTTTGGGGCTCTCAGGCGGAACACATATTTTTAGATATGTTCTTCAGCTGTTGTCAGCTTGTCATTCACATCCAGTACTACTCCTTCACTAGCTGGAGGCATTTCACTCACCTCCTCCGTGTCATTCTCCTCCCCTATGCACTACGTTCATCGAGAGCACTGTCGTGTCATGTCAGTTTCATGGGATCGTCTATCTTTTCTCTAACTGGTATGTCATCAGCAAGTCTCAGAGTTCTTACACACATTGAGTCTTCTGTACACTACTTGTAGCTCTTAAACTTTTACTAAGTCAACAATGCTCAAAACACTTATCTAACTGTTCACACAAATACATACTCAGAAGCCTACACAATTCACATAAACTCTAATACACTATGTTCAGGTCATGAGGGTACTGTATTTCAACATTATATACAGTTAAATTTTCATTTCAAAAATATTTAGCAAATAAAGGTCTCCGATGTCTGTCACCTATCACTGACATTTTTCAATTACCAGGCATGTTTGCTGCTGATTGCTGATGCCTCCACACCCACTGGGGGAAAGTAATCACAGAAAAACCATGCCCAGCTGAACTTTCAGAAAACTTAACTGGTGAGTAGATTCCTATGTACCCTCTCCTTTCCTTCCTTTCCCCTCCCAGCACCCACAGCTGTGGGCCTCTTCAAGCCCATTAGGGGAAGGGAGTCACCGCTGAACCTAAAGAGCTGATTTCTAAGACACTGGCCTGTTAAACTATCTTGGACTGCCCCACCCCCAGGACCTCCCAGCAACACAGTGTGCCAGACACTGACATCCACCTCTGTGAATTTACAATGAAATTGGGTACAAAGTTTAGCTATAATAATTCACTTTTTTATGATGGTCAAAATTTGGGAACACCCTAAATATAACAACAGGGGACTGGTTAAACAAAATATTGTGAAAAACCATAAAGATATTAAAAGTGATGCTGCAAAAATACTTAATTTTATAAAACATGTTTATAGTATGCTACTTTATGAAAAAACAGCAAATTATAACACAATACGTGTAGGAAGATTGCAATTGTGACAAAATATATGTAACGTCACAGGGGAAAAAAAGACCGCAAGGTTATTTCCAATATGTGAATACTGCTTATACTGGATGGTGGGATAAAGAGTGTTTTTATTTTTCCTTAGTGTTTTTCTGTACTTTTCACATTTCCTATAATAAATAAAGGCTACTCTTATAATTTAAAATACATCATATATACTTACAAGTCCCTGATTTCTATTACTGTGCCATTTTTCTGAGGATCCCATAATTATCTCACATTGTAGCTTCTGTAATGGGTCTTTCACATGTGATAATTTAATCAAAACCAGACATTTACCTGTTTATGTAGATCGCTATTTGCATCTTAAGTAACCCTACAACCTAGGCTTGCTTAGTCTGACTCTGAGCACAGTGTACAGGGGGCTGGGCTTCTCAAGCTGTCTGCCTACCTGACAGCTGGACTGTAAATAAGCCACCACTTTCCTGATCGCTGGCAGCCAAGGCCTGGCTGCATCGGGGTGTATATCAGGCTGGTCTCCTTTGCACTCTTTCCTTCCAGTCTCTGTGGCTGCCTAGGAAACACGATGAGGGAAACCAGGGGAGGCAGGGAGTATGAGGAAGGGTTCCTTATCCTTAAACATGATGAGCCCCTGCACCACTCTCAAAGCCATAACTGCCATCATTCAACATTCACTCTCTTGTTTCTTGGGTCTTGCGGATATTTCTATTAAAATAGTTTGTTTCACGAAAGTAGCTTTAGGATTTTCTCCTTGAAGCCTAATACGATGATGACTCTCACTTACCGAATGGCCATTATATGCCAAGCATTCTACATGTTACCCTAGTGTATGCTCCCAACAACTCTAAGAGGCAGATACTATCATTCCCATTTCACAGATTGGGACCCTAAAGGTTGGCAGGGTGAAGTAACTTGGCCAAGATCACAAAGGTAGGAAGTAGGACAGGGGAAATAAAACCCAAGGGTCTTAGGCTCTAAAGCCTCTGCGTTTTAAGCCTTTCTTCCTCTAGCAAATATAAATTACTGGCCAATTATAAAGAGGCCATAGTTTATACCATAAGTATAGATTTTTGTAGATTTGTAGTTTCATTTGGGTTCTGAATCACTTAACTTGTGGTTTCTATAAATTCAAAATGAAAATGATCTGAAATAATTTATTTTAATGAAATCCATACATACTAAATATCCTGTCCAATGGCTGTATCCTGGGTCCTTACGAAGACAGATCACCTTATTTTTCCATCCATCCAGAAGACTGTCTCCCTCTATCTTTCCTTAAGAATATTCTTATGTGTGCCCAGTTTTGTCATTAATTGAAATTTTCAGTGTCATTTTCTGCCCTGGGTACTCCCCCTGCTCTTCCCTAAAAGCTAAAGACCAACTTGGAAACCCATTTCTGAGCTTAGCAAAGGACTGATGGGTTTTAACTCTGGGGAAGATAGGGTGGCTAAGCTGGACTTGAGATCAAAACCCAAATGGAAAACTGCCTCTTACAAATATCAACTTCACTCCTAATTCTTGCCCAGTGGATAAAATAGCTCACACAGAAAGACTGGTTGCACACATTTTTCCCTGAAAAAGTCAGATGGATAACTTCAGGCTACATCATGTAATGAGGCAGGGTATGTATGAGAAGCAATATAACCTGGTGGTTAAGGGCATGGACTTGGGGCCAGATTGCCTCGCTCTAGTCCTGGCTGATCAACTTAGCTGTATGATTTTGGGGCAACTCAATCTCTTTCGGTTTCTTCATCTGTAAAATGGGGATAATAATACCTTATAGGCCTATCTGAGGATTTGATGAGTTAATAGCTACAAAGCAGTTAGAACAGTATCTGATACATTAATAGTGTTATATAAGTGTCAGCTATCCACCACAGCCTCGTCATGGGACTGTAACAATACTGAGAGATCCTAACATGGTAGGGCCTACTACTGTGTGCCAGGTACTGTGCTAGGCCTTTTATTCAGATCATCTGATTTGTCACCCTAGCATGTAAAGAATATGAATTCCATTTCACGCAGGAAGAAACTGGGACTTACAAAGGCTAAATAACGGGTTCCAGGTTCCGTAGGAAGTGGTGGAATGAGGATTCATAGCCAGGCTGCCCCAGCCTGCACTCTGTAATATGTACAAATCATACCACCTCCCTCATAGCAAGTTCTTAATATAACATCTGGTGATGATAATCAAGATTATGACAACCCAGACCTACTAGATCTATCAACCTATAGTTTCTATCAAATGCTTAATTTTCAGGCAGCTAACATGGGAGGAAAGAAAAAAGAGCAGCCAAAATCACTTTAAAAAGACAAGCTGTGAGGTCAGTTTCTATTAATATATTTTTGCCAAGGAAATGATTATATAAAAGATAAAAGTCTCCTTCACACTGAACAGGACATAGTTCTCAAGGCAACATCCACCTTTAGAAAGAGGTTTTAAAACGTCACAGCTGCGCATGAAACCACATGCCCTCTACTTCGCAGTGGATGTGGACACAAAAGGAAGATTCTGGGAAGCAGTTACTGGGCAGCGACAGGAAAACCTGTCTGGGCATTCCAATGATGTATTTATTGCAGTAATACCATGTCACTGGATGGTCTAGGAACAAAATGGTGCTCTGGGCACTTTGGGAGGGATCCAAGTTATAATACCCGGGCAGGATTTTTATAGGATTTTGTAAACCCGAGGCAAACATCTCAGCACATAAGTTTCAAAGAAAATCTGAAGTATCTGCTGGATAGTGGATACATACATGGTCAGTCCAGCTTCCTCTATCCCTTCAATCCTTGACTGAAACATCAAAGGTTTTAGCACACAATTCCTTAACAGCTTAGAGCCGGCGGAGAGTTGAAATCCAGTGGGAAGCAAATGCAGAAGCCCAAAGAGAGAGACCATTGCCTCAATCACTCTGCATCTTCTTTCTGAAGTTTCGGAGAAACTTCCTTCAGACCTCACTCTCAGGAAAAAGCTGCACTTTCTCGGAGCAACTGGTTTGCTC